ATGGAATTATGCAGGACACTCATTGAAGACATAAAAGACCTGGTGTTCTATCGAAAGCTCCAACTCCTCGAGTTCTCCAACTGCCTCACTTCCGGTTTAGTTAGAACTAAGAGGTTTGGCCAAGAAAGCTCTTCTGCACGAGCGCCAGCCGCGGCATTGCCCTATACACATACACCACAGCAATGAAGTATTAAAATGAACTAGGATCACAGTAATCCAGCACGGTATTAATTTCAGGTGCCCCACTCAATATGGCCGCTGCCTGAGTGGAGACATAGGACACTTTGTAGAAGACCTGGGACACTTAGTAGAAGACCCGGGGCACTCAGTCAAGGACTTTGGGCACTCAGGAAAAGACCTTGGGCACTCAGTAGAAGGACCAGGGGCACTAAGTAAAAGACCTTGGGCACCCAGTAGAAGACCTAGGACACTCAGTAGAAGACCCGGGGCACTCAGTAGAAGACCAGGGACACTCAGTAAAAGACCTTGGGTACCCAGTAGAAGACCTAGGACACTCAGTAGAAGACCTAGGACACTTAGTAGAAGACCCAGAGCACTCAGTAGAAGACCGAGGACACTTAGTAGAAGACCCGGAGCACTCAGTAGAAGACCTTGGGCACCAAGTAGAAGACCTTGGACACTCAGTAGAAGACCCGGGGCACTCAGTAGAAGACCAGGGGCACTCAGTAGAAGACCTACGACACTCAGTAGAAGACCTGGGGAACTCAGTAGAAGACCTAGGACAGTTAGTAGAAGACATGGAGCACTCAGTAGAAGACCATGGGCACCCAGTAGAAGACCTAGGACACTCAGTAGAAGACCTAGGACACTCAGTAGAAGACCCGGGGAACTCAGTAGAAGACCTAGGACACTCAGTAGAAGACCCGGAGCACTCAGTAAAACTGTAATGTCATATTAAGACATAACTGAAATAAAAATCACATGTATTATAATTGCTTAGAAAAAATAAATATTGATTAATCAAAAAAGAGATAAATTATACAATGTTCTAAAACTGTATAAAGTATGATATGTATAATCTTCATATCTCAAAGGAGACCCGGGTACTCAGTAGAAGACCTAGAACACTCAGTAGAAGGCCCAGGACACTCAGTAGTTGAAGACTCAGGGCACTCAGGTAAAGACCTTGGGCAACCAGTACAAGGCAATGTGCAGCAAATGTGGGAAAAATGCACGCAAATGCGCACAAATTCACCCAAATGCAAAGCACGTTCACCGAATGCGAAAGTGTGAACAAAGTGCAGTGGGGACTATGTGCGTGATCATGCATTGCCTTTTTGCATCCTGGCGTTTATGTGACGCTTCCGCATGGGGCGGCCCATTCATTTCATTGGGCTGGTCTACATGCGACAAATGCAGTTAAAGGAGAACTATGGGGCTAAGGCTTTTCCCCATAGTTCTCCTTAGGGTAACGGGAGGACACAAACTAGTGTGCTCCCGTCACCCTAAGCTCAGTATACTATACTGAGACGCCACAGCTGAAGCGGATCCCGACAATTATGTCTGGATCCGCCTAGCTGCGTGAGTGACAGCTGGCTCTGCCTATCTACAGGCAGAGCCAGCTGTACCCGACTCCTCCCCCGTCTGATCCGCCAGTCAGCGCTGGCGGATCGGAGCGGGGAGGAGGGAATCCAGCCCCTCCCCTGTCACAGCAGAGAGCCGTGACAGGATCGAGAGGTGAGCGAGCGCCGGTATGTGTTCGCTCACTTCCCGATCTACTGAGCCGACCTGTGACAGTCTCATTGTCACAGGTCGGCTAGAACTATGAGGTGAGTGAGAAGCACTCACCTCATAGTTCTCCTTTAAGAAGCTCATGCAGCTATATAAGCTGTTAGCTTTGTATGCATCTAAACAATAATGTAACCACAAGCACATCACACGCTTCATGTGCTTCATGAATGCATGCAGAATTTGTGCACATTTTTAAGCATTCATGTACGTGGCAAGTGTGGGCTTACTGCTATACATATCTACAAGTCACTGGACACAGGGGAAGGGGGGCTGGTGTGCTAGGAAATATTGCCCCCCAGTTGGTGTTAAATGTCTCCTGATCATGTTCTGGGATGTTTACATATATTATTATCTACAAATGCTGCGAAAACCTTTCTTGTACATAAACTGCTTCTTTCTCAATTATATCATTTGGGCATTATGGCCCTTTTACTAATCCACAGTCAGAGGGCCTGAGCGTGAGGTTTCACACCTTCAGCATGGCCTTACACTGCGCTCATTGATAGGGTAATAGACTGGCACACACCCCATGCCCCGCAGGTGCCAATTAGTCTGCCAGGACTGGGGAAGAGGTGTGAATTGGCCATTGACTTATCAATAGGGCAGACGGGCAATATGAAAACTATTCATAACGTGGCATATTTCTGTATGTCTGATTTTATGCTATTCCACATTTATGTT